AAATAGTTAATTTGATACTAATATCGATATATTTTTGTCAAATTTTTATGATATCTTCAAACATATATTTTATTCAAAAATAAAAACATCATCGTTTTCCAAAATCTCATAAAGTCATATTATAACATCGACTGAGATAAATAATAAAATAAAATATTAAAATCACGATGTATCTCGCTGCATTGCATGAGTACGCTTCTAGTTTTAATGAAACTATTAAGATGTAAACAAACAGAATCTTAAAGTTGTATAGTTTATATTAAGAGAAAAAAAAAGTAATTTAAATATAAAAAAGAGTTAGGTAAGTTAAAATTGGATTAAATGTTGTGATTTTGGAAAGTATTCATATCTACAATTTTTTATAAGACGTGTAGAATTATTTGTCGATGATGAAACGATAAAATAGTTTATCTTTAAATGGGATGGGACCCAGTAAACAAGTTGGTGGGACCCATGAATTTCTGAAAATGGAAAAAAAGGAGACTTCATTGGATTGATGATTTTGAGCATAAAACAACAAAATACACATGTGGGGTAATGAGATAAGAATCCTATGACACTTTTTTTCCTTTTTTGAATTATTTAGAGTTTGAATCAATTATTTTCCTCGTATAAATTGGTTTTATAATCGTTTTTTTTATCGACCCAGATATCAATACTTACGTAATATTCAAATATGTAAGTTAAAGATAAAAAATTCAACATAAATATGTAATCGTCATGGCCAGATATGCAATTGAGACGGCCAGGTCCGCAATTACGATGGAAAACTGATTGAACTTGACACTTTTTGTCTGGATATTTGCAGATGACTGAAAATCCTCGTGTCACCAATTCAAATCTGTCCTAGTGATATTTTGGTTAACCCATGAGAGAAATGGTTATGAGACCAATTTAAATGAAGAGCTAATTTCTCCTCTCTCTTTTTTTCATTTGGTGATTCTATGATGTTTTAAACCAGATTAATTATATATAAAAGATAAGTCTTAAGATTGATATGTGTGAAAAAGAAATTAATAAATAAGGGTACATTGAGAGCACCTTCAACGAGAGATTTTTATAAGTAAATTTTTTATTAACATAATCAATATTTGTAATATCTAAAATTAAAAGTTGACGTTAAATATAAAAAAAAAAAAGTTGATTACGGACAAATCCAACCGACCCCACACGAACTCGTCTCTAAATGCGCACCAATGTGAAGGGCATTTTTGACTTGGTGGTTGCGATTGACATGGGAACGCCATCAAATTCATGATCTATTTTATATTTGGACAAATCGTCCATTTTTTTATCAGCTGAGTTACATATTTGCTTTTTTAGTAACCGTAACCATAATGTCAAACAAATCCAAAAAAATCCAAATTTTAAATCGTATTTTTAGACAAAAGGAAAAAATCTTAATTGATGGTGTAAAAAATCAGAGTAAAAAATGAATATTTATTGAGAGAGAGAGAATAAGAAGAGTTTAATGAGGGTATAAATAGTAATTTATTAATTAAGAATTGACGATGGCAAAAGGGAATCCAATGCATGCACATTTCAAGGAGTCCAAACAAGTAATTTATTAATTAAGAATTGACGATGGCCTTGCCGAAGCTCTCCTCCTTGTCCTTCCTTTTTTGCCTTTCAAAAAAAAAAAATTATATACGGGAGAAAGTTGGATTCACGTGAGACAAAGTTATTTTTATGAAACATGTGAGACGGGTTTTTTTATACTTGGAATTTTATAGTAAAATATTGTGAAAGTAAAAAGAAGTCAAACATTCACAGTAAAAACACTGTAAATGTTACCTTCACATCGTTTTTCTGTGAAGTTTCAAGTGTAAAAAAGTTGTCTCACGTGTCTTACGAAAACAACTTTGTCTCACATGATCCCAAGTCTACATATATATAACATATTCATCACATCATGACAAATAATATATTCATCGGAAATATAGATATGTTGTTCATAATTAATGTTATAATATATTCATTGTGAATATATGTTTCACGATGAATAAGAACACCATCAATGGATTTTAGGGGCCGTTTACCTAAACACTTACCCAGTAAGCACTTACCCGTAAAATTCAACACT